TTTTTTTAAAGCGCGAACGAAAGAAATGTGAACGAAGATGAAGAGAGGCTAAAAATTGATAAAAGAAATGGATTATGTTTCGTCTGGCAAAGCGTAACAATCAACACAGCTTTAATAATTACAATCATATTTAAGCAGAATTATAAGTTACGGAAACGGCTGAGCGAGCAAAGCAAGAGATATGAATCAGACGAATTTACGCGTGGATTGAAAAGAACGGGCCAAATGATGATTTTGTTGAAATGTTATCTCGCTTCTTACGTGAACCATACAAACTGCTTCGATTCCAATGAAACGGTTCGGTAAACCAGTGATGAAGCGAGTCAGAGCAAGCGAGAGAGAGAGAGAGAGAGAGAGAGAGAGCAAGAAAGATTCAAAGTGATTATGAAATGTAAGCCGCCGCCTCGGCAAAGGTGAAAATTTATACACCAAATTAAATATTTAAATTGATCGAAAAAAATCAGCCATTGGTTGTTGTCTGTGCACAAGTAGTTGTTAGATAGGGCATTCGGATGATTCAATTTAATACAATTCGTTACTTCCATATTTGTTGCTTGCTAATTATATTACTGTGTAAGCATAAATCTGTTATTCATCCGAAGCGATCATAGCATTCATACGTGGCCTGTGAGTTGGATGTATGGCTAATATCGCACATTCAGCGCACAGCGCATTCGAAATTATGATCAATTGCATAACTGCAAATGCTCATGTATTGATGATCGGCAAAGGAGTTATTATTGTTGCGTTGTTATTATCTGCATTGAAGGAAGTGAATTCCAAATGATATACTTCTCTTTCATCAACTACATGCTATTAATGCAAAATCTAGGGGGTAGACACAATAGAGAATGAATGAATACCAATGAATTGTCATAATACCTATCTATTTTCAAATATGACAATTACTTACTTATTTAAAGATTACTTGTACTAAAAATGTGAATACCGTGATTACCAAATGTCAAATTGATATCGGTAATAAAGATTTCAAGTTTCTTCCATTTCGTTTTAACATTCACCATTTCGAAATTTATTTTAATTTTTTCCGTTTTCTTTCTGCTATTTTTATCAAAATTGTTTTTGTATTTATTAAACCAATTGAAATACTACACTTAATAGCGTTGAAAAAGTTTTTTTAATATTTGGAAGATAATATTCATATATGCACATTGTGAGACGTTGCTGAATGCATTGACATTTCGTCTAAAACTGAGAATACCAAGAATACCAAGAATACCAAGAGTACCTTCAATTTCGGTGAATATCTCAAGTAATATTCCATGTGTCTACCCCCTAGTGCAAAATCGTTCTGCCTTCACTCAATGCGCTATTCATTTAAATCAATTTTTATCCGTTGAAAATTCCAGCATGCAAATGCAGTCCATTTGTTATTCATGATTTAATTTGGGTTAGTCGATTTACAAGAGTGAAAATACCTGCGGTACTCGGTGGTAATTTATATGAAATTTGCATTAGAACATTGTAATTTGTTGGTTATTTTTATTCGGAATTCTGTCCGTCGATTTCGTTGCATTCCATTGCAAATGATTTGATTTCGAAATTGTCATTGAAGAGTGCATTTGATTCTTTTAATAAGTGCACTTATTAAGCATGAAAAGTTTTTCGAATTAAATTCAATTGCCAATGCAATTTTCATAATTTATAAGAGCTTCGAATGCGGGAATCATTACAAAAGAGCGAAAAACAAAGCGAATTCGCGACAGTTTCGTGGTAATTGAATCTTTGTCAGCATCGTTTTCGTGGTTGAAAATTGTTCCGAGTCTAGACATAAATAAATACACTGCCAGTTTTTGGCCGTAGAGCTTTATGTGAAACGTGGAACCGTACTACTAAGAAAAACAAACTACTCGACATTCATATTTTGAATTTTTTGCCACAATTTTTTAAAAATAAATTACACCTTGAAAATTGATTTTGCCAATATTTTTACTAATTTGGCCTCAAACGGCCACCTGGGAAACACATTCACAAGTTTGATTGGCTAATAAGCTATATACCGTTGGAAAGAGGGCTTCAGGAGCTATCATCTGGCAAAGTTTCATCAAAATCATAGAACTAGGTTGCTTGCAATGAGATTCGGAAGCCGATTTTTCTCACAATTTTTCATATTTCGGCCAAACGGCCAGCGTAAAACGCCATCAAACCTGCCGGAAACTCCATAATTTATATACCATTCGAAAGGTAATTTTATAAGGAATCTAAAACAATTTGGTAACTCGGGTGTCTCCAACTTTTTTTCAACAAGTTTCATCTAGATCCAAAGTAATCAAATTAACACTGAAGTAAAACTCATTTATTCCATCTTTTATCCACCCAATAAAGTTGCGGAGAAAAATAATTCCACCCGAATCCATTCGTTATCCACTCAATAAATGGTGAGTGGAATCGAAATATTTTTCAAAGTGGAATCCAAAAAAGAGGGTCCATGAATGAAAAAATTAAATGGGGAGCACTTATGGGGAAAATAAAAAATACGTCTGGAGGGTTTTTCATGCCCTATCGAATGCCGAAAACCCGAACTCTCTATCTTTTCTGGTTTTCTCTTAAATCACTGAACAAACATATATATATATATCTTACTATTCCATAGCTTAATGTATAAAACTACGTTTCACATTAAGCAAAACTTGTTTTGAATCAAATGTGATGTCAACATCATCACCATAAAGATCGTTCACTCGCACACTCCATATTTCACTTGAAATCATTTTTCGTTCATTTTTCGAAGCATTTTGCATTCTCAATTTTGTTTGTCTTTTCAATTTTTGTTTTTTTTTCTTCTCTCTTTCGAATTACGAATCGCATTGGGTGTGAAGATTTATTGCAATTATAGCTCGTGGCGCGCTTTAGTTGTCGTTCAGTTTTTTTGAGAACGCTTTGGCAGGCATACGATTTAACGAGATCAAAAGTCACTGTTACTGTTAGCAATAAAGAAAACTAGCGGCTTTCATTTTATTCTCATTTTTCGCTCTTCTATACTTTTTTTTTCTGACACGATTTCTTCTACCTAAATGTGTGTGTTTTTGTTGTGCATAAAAGGAATCGGAGTGCAGAACAAATCATAAATATTATATTGAAACAATAAGCCCATAATGTTCGATTTGTTTGAATGCGCGTATCGAGGCAAGCTTATAAATAGCCAAATATAAATGGAATTTGATTGCTCAATAATCGCTGTGTTGTGTGCGCGCGCATTGTACAAAAACGAAAATTAACAAACAATACGGGAGGCAAATGTATAACCGACCGTTTTTGAGCTATTTACATTTTTGTTTGAATATACATGCAGTATTAAAGTAGAGCAGTTTTGCTGCTAAACACACATACACACAGTACCATAACAACGAGAGCACACTGCGAGCACTGACCTTCTTAACACCAATGGTTTGTGTCTTTGTCGAGAGAGCATGCCACATCGAAAACTATGCGAACGTTTTCCATATGACTCATAACGAATATATAGCATACGAAATGGAATTGGATTTTTCACTTCGACCGAAAAAAATGTATCCTCTATGCCTATGACCAAACGATCACGATGTCGTTTTTGGCACCAGAATACGCGACCACCAGTTAAAGTTTTGAAAATTTGATTGCTGTGTTTGGCTAGCAGCAAATTTCTTGAAACATTTTACCGCGCTGCAGAAGGGCCAATGACATGACAAAATACTACAAAAATTCAATCGTATTTTAAATGGTTTGCTCACCAAGCGCGAGAAGGAAATATTTTATAAACAAAAAGAAAAAAACAAAACAAAGAAACACACGATAAAACGGTGATACAGTCAAAACAGAGCAAAACCGCGGTCCGCACACTAGATGCATATCACGCAAATGGAATGGCACACTATGTTTGAGCTTATGCTTGAGATAGATATTTTTTTTGTATTCGGAAAATAATTACCTTCGAGCATGTTATTTCGAACTGAAGTTGATTGCTAATTGTGCGGCGAGTGTGCAGTTCGACCAAAAATGTTGGTGGTATTTTAAATATTTCTCTACCAATAACTGGAGAAATAAAGGTCAAAATATTGGAACGCACTTTGTTAGATATCAGCGTTTTTTTTCTTTTCAAATAAACCAATCTCAATGTTGTTTTGGAATTGCTGTCTCTTTTTCAAATACAACAAATACCCACTGCACATTTTACAACGTTTCACGTCCATTTCAGCTACAATCAAATTCATTTCTGCTTCACTTCTAATTGCACCTTGGATCCATATAGATAAAAAAGAGAATGAAAGAGCAATTAACATATGGCGATTTTAATGGCAAAACAAGAATAAAAGAGACAGAAATACATATGCTGGCCAATGCCATTTTCACAAGGAAATAAACTTTAACGTTCGATTTTCTAACAATGCTGCAATTGACCATTTTATTCGATAACATTTTTTTGTTTTTTCTATAGGTAACCATGTGCTGATTTTATAGTTATGAAAAACGATTGCATTCTTTTACGATGTGAAACTTTCAATTTTGATTCACCAGGTTTTAAATGTAATTTATTTATCCAGAAGGCAAAAAAACAAATGAACGCAAAGAACATAAATTTTTTTCTATTTACCATTGAGTCAGAGAGAGAGAGAGAGAGAGAGAGAGAGGAGAGAGAGATACACTTTCAGCTATTGTGCAATACGATTTATTGCAAATTAAATTGACACTTTGAAAAATGGCACAAAACAAACCATTTTTGGACGAATCACATTTCAAAACACAATTTATAATAAAGACGTCTCTCCTCTGGGTTCGCTTAATTTCTTAATGAATTAAGTTAGATCGGTATATGATAATGAAAATGAATAAATCGGTTGAAAAAACGTGCAGATTATCGGAATGATAGATATACATTGCCTGAACCGTTTGGTTCACTGTGACATTTTCCAATTTTTTTTGTTGCTTTAAATTCTAAAATGTGAAACATGTACGCTGCAAAATATTTAAAATATTTCCGTCTTTTGTTCTCTTTCACCCAGATGAAACCGATAACACATAGAGCACTGGTGATTTTTCTAATAATCGAATGCAGTTGTTTGCACAATGTGCTATCGAGGAAGTTAATATCGTCCACAATACGAGTGGTGAGCACAGAATCGCCGTTAGCTCCAACATTTAACAGTCAATTTAATTTAAATTCAACAACTAATGAAAAAACGTGAGTACATTCAAATGAGTCAATTAAATGGTGAATTGCATTGTGGCAAGAAATCGATATCGGTATGAACGATGTGCCATTTTTTCTGTTATTTATATGTGCATTTAAACATGATTTGTTGCAGATCGACAGCGGAGGTGAATACGCCGCCAAAAACGATGCATCGATTGGTAGGTGGCCACTTACATCATTCCGTGTATCGAAAAGAAGAGAATAATTTTTCATCCCAGTCACCGAGTCGTTTATCAAAGTTATACTTCAGACGAAAACCATGGCCAACATCAACATCATCAACATTGCCCACGCTGTACGGTTCGACACAACCCACGACGGCGTCAAGCGCTGCATTTAGTTTAGCTACTGAATCACTATCGACACTATCGCCGTCAATAACTACCTCATCGAGAGAGCATGCCACAGCAACGTCAGCAGAACCAACAACAACAACAAAGGAGCCGGTATTTATAGTCGAAGCGCAAAGATATGAAGACCCCGAGTACGAGGCCAATCAGGTTATCAATTATGAAATAAAAAAAGAAGGATTTGTTGAGTCAAGCGCCGGTGAAGGTAAAGACGATAAGAAAAAAGATGAATCGAAAAAAACACTATCGGATCAAGTGGCCGAAGGAAAATATGGTTTAATACAAAATGAACTATTTAAAACACCGATAAAACGTCCGGGCATTTTAAGCTATGCTACAAATCCAGAGACACCGAATGATAATGCAAGTAATTTGGGTGGTTTGAGTAAAGATGAAATTTGGTTATCCGAAGATCATTTGCTTGTATTGAAAGGTGGCAGTTTGAATACGGAAACAAGAGAAGAACCATGGAAACCAATCGATGATTATCAAGCACCATTGCGTCAAGTTAAAATACCGGATAATCCAAAAGTGCCACCACCCTTTCTCGTGCAACTTGAGGAAAATGGGCCGATTGAGTTTATCGGCAATAATCAATTGCCGCTCGTTAATCCATTCACGAACGAGTCGCTATTATTATTCCCCGATGGCGGTTTCCCGAAAACCGAAACCTACAGTGGCGATAAAACATATCTATATGCCCGGCCACCCGGAACGACTAATGATGCTAAAAATGTTAACGCGCCGCCCGTTTCACTTGGCAATCACCGCAACAACAATTTCACCTTCACGAATCCATTCATAAGTCCTGGCCAACTACCATTTCCACCACCGCCACCATCATTATTTGGTATGCCATTTTTGAATGGATCTTTGGATAATGCCAACTTTACCGATGGATTTGATGAAGACGATCCATCGTTTTACTATCCACCACCGTATAGTTTTGTCTACAATAGCAACTACACAAATCCAGTGGCACCGGGACCTTTGGTGAGTCATCTACATTTAACTATATAAGTATATTATGTCTAACACTGTTATTTTGCTCACATTTATAGGTGCCTGGTATCATATTGCCACCGCCACCAAATTTCTTCGGTCGATTGGAGGATAGAACAACAACGACAACAACAACGACTATGAGACCAACAACATCATCCACTCAAAAACCATACAAACAAGTACTTCGTCCTGTTTATAGGCCAACAACAACCACCACAACTTCCATTCCTTCGACTCAAATTCCAACACACAAAACGATTAAAGCACATAAAGTTCAAACGGAAGCATTCCGCCAGAATGTGTTGAGTCCAACACGATTGCCAACACCAAGTACCACACAAAAACCGGTGACACAATTGAAGCAAATCAATGGACAAGATATCTTGGCATTTGTACCAAAAGAAGCTATTTTGAACGATCCATTATCGAATAGCAAAGGAAAACCGATTTATTATGAATATTTCGATGCTCGCATAAAAGCAAACGTAAAAGGTCCTACGTATATTATAACAACAACAGCACCGCCATCAACCGTTCGTACATTGACCCAACAACAAAAGCAATCGACACGAATCCAATTGCATCCATCGGCCAAGCAACTTCGGCGTCCATCAAATTCTTATTTGCCGGTGGTAAAACCACCATCCGATTACGGAAAATATGTGGTCATCACACCGAAACCAGAAGGCAAACCAATTTCATCGAATACCGTTCAAGTTGGTGACAGTCAATCGTCATACAAGAGCAATTTGAATCCACCGTCTAAATCGTATAACTCTGAAATTGATAATATTCGCCATACGATTGAATTCTTTAAAAATCAACAGAAGCTAAAACCGAACGACACAAATTTGCCGCGAAATCCAAAAGGCAAAGCAGTGTATGAATACTCATTCGATGCCACGCCAACCAAAGGAAATAGTAAACTATTCCATCCGCCGTCTGAATTTGATTCGTCACCATTCAAACCAATGGTTCAATACAGTTTGCCATTGAATGCGGATAATGGTTTCAAAGCGATCACTTATTCAACTATTCCGGGTGCTGCGACCGAAGCGACGACAACAACAACCTCAGCACCGCCGCCGTCACCGTCATCACCACTTCCACCACTATCGACTCTATCAAATCTTCGCTACATACCGACTTTGAACGAGAATGTATCGAAAAAACCACACGTATCATTCATTCCATTCGATTCGGGCTCATTAAAACCAAATTCATTAAAACATTCAGAGTATTCAACAGTTTCACCCGTATCATTAACGGTAACAACACCATTGCCGCCATTGACGACCATTCAACCATGGATTTCGGTTGAAAAGCAAATATTACGCGAAGTTCGACCAAAAGAAATTAACGTTCAAATTCAATCACATTCACCGTCATCGCGACCCTTATCACTTCTTCGTGGCATTACAGCTCCATACGAATCGTCGTATGTCGATGCCAATGCAAACGATGGTCATTATAACAATCAAATTTTTTATCCCATACGAACACCATCGACATACTATCAACAACAGACACGTCAACCGGTGATGACCGCTCAACAAAATGCATATTTACGACAAGTTGATTTCATTCGACATCAAATTCAACAATTTCCAAATCAATATCGCATCAATGTTGCCAATAATACGATACCAAGTCAAAATTATCGCGTTGCACGACCGTTGCCGACACAAAACAATTTTATCACATCTTATCATCATGATTTTAACGTCGATTCAAATAGGTATCCACATTTGTCACAGATTCTATCGCCAAATTACAACATACCACCACAACCGCAACCGCAACGTTTGCCACACGCTATCCATCCATTGCATCGAGATGTGATTGTAAATTATAAATATCCTCTGCCACCGATTAATCCAGATAGTGAATTTTTACCACCTCCGCATTTATTGCATCCTTTGCCGCCAGCGGTGCCATCCTCACCATCAATACCATACAATCGATACGGTCGAATCATTCGCAAACCGCCAACAGTCGTTCAATACAAATTGCCCGGCGATAATCAACAGAGCGGCGTCTTTTTCTATACGCCCGCCGAAGATAAATATGGAAATGCGAACAAAAAGTAACCACCTTCTTCGGCTTTGCCAAAAAAATCAATTCCTTTATATAAAAAAAATCGTGATATTTGTGATGCTTGAGCTCGTGGAGTGCAACTGTATCTTTTTTTAAACTCAACTGAATGACTTGCGTAAATTGGATTTCATTCAATTTAATAGAAAATCCAATTGCTTTGCCTATATGTAGTCTGAGGTAACATAGGCTTTGTGTGTGCTTTAAATGAAATCTTACAAACACTATAAAATAATCATTAGTCAAATTCATAGCATAATAGAGTATGTGGTAGATTTAGTGCTCTTAATCTTATTATTTTAAATTAAAATCCAATGATCGAACAACCTTTTAACTCAATCAAAATGAACAAAAACACAACAATATGATTTTCAATTTGGGTGATTTATTTTATGAATGACATATTTTAAGCTATTTATTCCATGTCGTTTTTATCAACAGAAGAAGAAAAAACGAACAAAATTAAACATATTTGGATTTGATGAGTGAGTCTTGTTTTGTTTCTGAAGTCCACAAAAATTGATTCATATGGATGGTTATAGCTTTGTCTACCATACAAGGCACGAATTTAAATGAAAGTGAACACATTTTTTTTAAATGAAAATGCACAAGTAAACATCAATTTTAATTGCAGTTGAATGTGATTTATTAGGTTTGATTTAAGTTTGTGTCCTTATTTTTCTATGTAGTTTGAAAGTATGTTTGTATATGCGTGTATGTGATTGAATCAATAGGAATAACTCATGAATGTGTGTGTTTTTTTTACTTAGTTGAGACTGTGCAATTTCGAATTGTGCATTTGTTAGATGGTATTCAATTTACTAATTACAATAAGACATTTCGCCATAAGATTGTAATTCATAAAAATCAAAATATGTAAATAAAAAGTGAAGAAAAAATATGGAGAAAAACTCGAAAGCGTTTCATTCAAATGTATGCTTCTTTCTACATTCTGCGACTTGAAAAAAAAACCCGCTGAATATCATGAAAAACGCCTGTAAGTATACTACGCTTAATCATGACTTTTAAAAAGCATTTTCAATTGATTCAAATACATGAATCGCCTTGTAATGACATGGAAAGAAATTACAACATGTATCACATTTTTGTGGTTTTAACATCAACTATTTAATTTAAAGTGTGAGTTCAGTTGGGGCTCTGCATATAAGTAATTATAAGCATTAGAGATAATAACTTGTGTAAATATTTACACACATACGACATCACACGCACTCAAATAAACATATGTGTATGTGCGAATATCGCTATTTGTATAATTTTCGTTAAAAGATAGCATATCTATTCATAAGTATTAGTTAATGACGAAATCAGTAAAGTTGTAAATTTGTTAAATATATTATTCATTCAGCTTTAGTAATTTGGAACCTTTCGATCAGAGCAAAAGTGATTTAATTTTAAAGCATGTTCTCTTCTTGTGTAGCTAAATTTGTATTTCTGTTATTCTTGTGCGAATTTGGTGTTTCATATGGATTTTTGCATTACAATGATAGTAATTCAGAAGATAGAAGTACTCTTTGGCCTTCAAATGATAGCCAATTGATATTTGCGCATGTTGTAAGAATGAAAAAATAAATAATTTTATGATGAAAATGATGTAAATTAAAAATTTGTGTAATTAACAGATCTATCGTCATGGTCATCGAAATACCATTAGTTATCCAGGACTGTATCCAAATGACCCATATATTAATGAAACTCATTGGCCTGGTGGATTTGAAGCACTCACAAATGTAACTACTTTAGATCAACAAAAATGTTTTTTGATAAAAACTTTCGTTGACAGGAAGGTAAAAGACAACAATTCAAATTGGGACAATATTTCCGAAGAAGATACAACAAGCTTCTTGGCGATAAATATTCACCAAAAAGAGTGTACGTACGTTCGACTGACAAAGATCGTACTTTGATGTCGGCACTTGCCAATTTAGCAGGTTTATTTCCACCACACGCTGAAGAGAAATGGCATGAGGATATTGCATGGCAACCGATTCCAGTTCACACAATGCCTTTGAATTTGGACTATGCATTGCGTGGACCAGGTGATTGTCCAAGATATTCTGCCGCTCTCAAGAAATACAAAAATGAATCACCAGAATTGCAGCGAATTCTTAAAGAAAATGAAGAAAATATCTTGTACTGGTCGAAAATGTGCGGATCGAATCTAACTACCATTGAAGAGATTAGCCAGTTATATGGGATACTCATTGTTCAAAAAGAACATAATAAAACGTAAGTAATGAACAATGGCTAGTACCACAAATTCAAATCACATGTTCATTAATTCGATCCTTTTTGAAGGCTCTCCGATTGGGCACGAAAAGCAATCGAACCAAATGGTGCTTTGGGGTCCATTGCTTTTTTTCGATTTAAAATGAGATCGAATACTAAAGAATTGGCTCGATTGTGGTCTGGATTTTTTATTAAAGAGATGTTTGAACGTTTCGCTCAAAAGATAAACTCAACTTTGGAGCCAAATCGTTCATTGTGGTTCTACTCAGTGGGTGATAATACGATTGTTGGTCTACTGAATGGCCTCGGACTTTTAGAGGTAGTTGACTTATATGTTAATTAATATGTAAAATAATAATTAATATGTAATTTTTTCATTAAAATTTTGGTGTCCACAGCCACCTTTACCACCATTTGCATCGAGTGTACACTTGGAATTATACAAAGTTGGCGAAAAAGAGCACTACATTCAAATCTTCTACAGAAAATCGGGTGAAGAAATCCTTCTGCCATTGAATATACCGAATTGCGGGGAAAAGTGTTCTCTGGATCAATTGTACAAATTGTACAATGATATTATACCTGATCGTGATCATGACACTGAATGCCGTCTTACCAACTAGATACGGCTGAAAATGTTCAATGAAATTATTTTGATAAAGTATTTTGAAATGAACCTATAATTGAAATGAATTATAATCTAAATCATAGATGAATGCTCTTGAATAAAAAAAAATTCGACGAACCATCTAAACATCAGAAACATAAACGGAACGTTTAAATATTTTTTTATTAATAAGTTAATTTTAATTTTCTGAAAATATACACATTGAGACTCTCTCATTGATGGTAGCACTTTTTGATCAGCGATTCAAAATGTGTAAATTTGTTATTTAATGTTCGAAACTGATAGCACAGTTTTTCTAAATCTCAATTTTT